TATATATATATATTATATATATATATATATATATATATATATATATATATATATATATATATATATATATATATATATTACACAAACGCACACACATATACGTGTGTGTGTGCGTGTACATATATATATATATATATATATATATATATATATATATATATATATATATATATATATATATATATACATATATGATTATATGTGTGTGTGCATGTACACATACAAATCGTATATATGTATGTATCCATATACCTACACCCCATTCACTTCACATCTCCCTCTCACCCCCACCCCCCACCCCCCCATCTTCCGCTGCCGACCGAAGGCCTGAAGCTGATGATGGACTTCGTGCCGAACCACAGCAGCGACGAGCACCAGTGGTTCGCCAAGTCCAAGCGGCGGGAGGAACCCTACACGGACTACTACGTCTGGGCGGATCCGAAGGGCTTCAACGAGACCGGCCAGCCCATCCCGCCCAACAACTGGGTGAGTTGAAGGAGGGGGAGAGGGTGTGTGGGGGGGGGGGGGGGTTCCGCGGGTGTGAGTCGGACAAGGACTAATTTTTTTTTTTTTTTTTTTTTTTTTTTTTTTTTTTTTTTTTTTGACGGATGTGAGTTGAACAGGGACTTTTTTCTTTATTTTTTTTCCTTTTTTTTGGACGGGTATGGGTTGAACAAAGACTAGTCTTGTTGAATCTTTAGTGGTTGTAAGTTGAACAAGGATTAATATTGTTAAATCTATTAAGACAAATTAAGACAAATCTGTTGATTTTTTCCCGGTAAGATTGCGAATATCCTTAACATTGATTGATGATGATAATATTCATGATGATGATGATACCGACAAGAAAAGGACTAAGGACTACATAATAATAACAACGATAAATAGCTAATTCAAACCAAACAAAAATATAATCATAAAATTAACCAAAATCACCAACAAACACCCTCACCCTCCAACGATTCGATAAAATACATCCACCCTTTTCGTCCTTCTCTTCCCTTTTTGGAATACAAACAAACACCTACACCCACCCTTTTCATCCTTCTCTTCCCTTCTGGAATACAAACAAACAGCTACTTTCATCGGAATTACACCCACCCTTTTCATCCTCCTCCCCTCTTTAGAATACAAACAAACACCTACACCCACCCTTTTCATCCTTCTCTTCCCTTTAAATACAAACAAACACCTACACCCACCTTTTCATCCTTCTCTCCCCTTTTGGAATACAAAAAACACTACACCCACCCTTTTCATCCTTCTCTCCCCTTTTGGAATACAAACAAACACCTACACCCACCCTTTTCATCCTTCTCTTCCCTTTTGGAATACAAACAAACACCTACACCCACCCTTTTCATCTCTTCCCCCTGGAATACAAACAAACACCTACACCCACCCTTTTCATCCTTCTCCCCCTTTTGGAATACAAACAAACACCTACACCCACCCTTTTCATCCTTCTCCCCCTCTTTAGAATACAAACAAACACCTACACCCACCCCTTTCATACAAACAAACAAGGAATACAAACAAACACTACCACCCACCCTTTTTCATCCTTCTCCCCCTCTTTAGAATACAAACAAACCACTACACCCACCCCATCTTCTCTTCCCTTTTGGAATACAAACAAACACCTACACCCACCCTTTTCATCCTTCTCTTCCCTTTTGGAATACAAACAAACACCTACGCTCAACCTTTTCATCTCTCTTCCTTTTAAATACAAACAAACCTACGCCACCCTTTTCATCCTTCTCTTCCCTTTTGGAATACAAACAAACACCTACACCCACCCTTTTCATCCTTCTATTCCATTTTTGGAATACAAACACCTACACCCACCCTTTTCATCCTCCTCCCCCTTTTAGAATACAAACAAACACCTACACCCACCCTTTTCATCCTTCTCTTCCCTTCTGGAATACAAACAAACACCTACACCCACCTTTTTAATCCTTCTCTTCCCTTCTGGAATACAGACAAACACCTACACCCACCCTTTTCATCCTCCTCCCCCTTTTAGAATACAAACAAACACCTACACCCACCTTTTTCATCCTTCTCTTCCCTTTTTTTTTAATACAAACACCTACACCCGCCCTTTTCATCCTTCTCTTCCCTTTTGGAATACAAACAAATTACTACACCCATCCTTTTCATCCTTCCCCCCCCCTTTTTGGAATACAAACAAACACCTACACCCACCCTTTTCGTCCTTCTCTTCCTATTTGGAATACAAACAAACACCTACACCCACCCCTTTCATCATCCTCCCCCTCTTTAGAATACAAACAAACACCTACACCCACCCTTTTCATCCTCTTCCCCCTCTTTAGAATACAAACAAACACCTACACCCACCCTTTTCATCCTTCTCTTCCCTTTTGGAATACAAACAAACACCTACACCCACCCTTTTCATCCTTCTCCCCCTTTTTGGAATACAAACAAACACCTACACCCACCTTTTTCATCCTTCTCCCCCTTTTTAGAATACAAACAAACACCTACACCCACCCTTTTCATCCTCCTCCCCTCTTTAGAATACAAAGAAATACCTACACCCACCCTTTTCATCCTTCTCTTCCCTTTTGGAATACAAACAAACACCTACACCCACCCTTTTCCTCCTCTTCCCTTTTGGAATACAAACAAACACCTACACTCACCCTTTTCATCCTTCTCTTCCCTTTTGGAATACAAACAAAACCTACACCTTTCATCCTCTCTTTTTTGGAAATACACCCACCCTTTCATCCTTCTCCCCTTTTGGAATACAAACAAACACCTACACCCACCCTTTTCATCCTTCTCTTCCCTTTTTGGAATACAAACAAACACCTACACCCACCCTTTTCATCCTTCTCCCCCTTTTTAGAATACAAACAAACACCTACACCCATCCTTTTCATCCTTCTCTTCCCTTTTGGAATACAAACAAACACCTACACCCACCCTTTTCATCCTTCTCTTCCCTTTTGGAATACAAACAAACACCTACACCACCTTTTCATCAATACAAACAAACACCTACACCCACCCTTTTCATCCTTCTCTTTCCTTTTGGAATACAAACAAAACACCTACACCCACCCTTTTCATCCTTCTCTTTCCTTTTGGAATACAAACAAACACCTACACCCACCCTTTTCATCCTTCTCTTTCCTTTTGGAATACAAACAAACACCTACACCCACCCTTTTCATCCTAATCCCCCTTTTTTTAAGACAAACAAACACCTACACCCACCCTTTTCATCCTTCTCTTCCCTTTTAGAATACAAACAAACACCTACACCCACCCTTTTCATCCTTCTCCCCCTTTTTGGAATACAAACAAACACCTACACCCACCCTTTTCATCCTTCTCTTCCCTTTTGGAATACAAACAAACACCTACACCCACCCTTTTCATCCTTCTCTTCCCTTTTGGAATACAAACAAACACCTACACCCACCCTTTTCATCCTTTCTTCACCTTTTGGAATACAAACAAACACCTACACCCACCCTTTTCATCCTTCTATTCCATTTTTGGAATACAAACAAACACCTACACCCACCCTTTTCATCATCCTCTTCCCTTTTGGAATACAGACAAACACCTACACCCACCCTTTTCATCCTAATCCCCCTTTTTTTAATACAAACAAACACCTACACCCAACCTTTTCATCCTTCTCTTCCCTTTTAGAATACAAACAAACACCTACACCCACCCTTTTCATCCTTCTCTCCCTTTTTGGAATACAAACAAACACCTACACCCACCTTTTTCATCCTTCTCTTCCCTTTTTAGAATACAAACAAACATACACCCCCCTTTTCATCCTCCTCCCCCTTTTTGGAATACAAACAAACACCTACACCCACCCTATTCACCCCCTTGCCCCTTTATGGAATACAAACACCTACACCCACCCTTTTCATCCTCACAAACAAACACCTACACCCACCCTTTTCATCCCTCTCCCCTTTTTAGATATAAACACCTACACCCACCCTTTTCATCCTCCTCCCCCTTTTTAGAATACAAACAAACACCTACATCCACCCTTTTCATCCTCCTCCCCCTTTTTAGAATACACATAAACACCCCATCTACTTGCCTTCCAGCTGAGTGTCTTCCGAGGGTCGGCGTGGACTTGGGTGGAAGAAAGGCAGCAGTTCTATTACCACCAGTTTTTGGCCAAACAACCCGACCTGAACTACCGAAACGAGCGAGTGAGAGAGGAAATGAAGGTAATAATAAGTTGAGAGTATTTCTGGAACCCGTTAATTGTAGAAAGAGAGGATACGGGTGATGATAGTGATGGTTATGTGGATAGAGGTGATAGTAGTGGTGATAGTAGTGTAGTGGTAGTGTATAGAAAGAATGGGGGTTGATGATAGTGATGGTTATGTGATAGAGGTGATAGTAGTAGTGATAGTAGTGTAGTGGTAGTAGTAGTAGTATAGTAGTAGTGTAGTAATAGTAGTAATAGTATTGGTAGTAGTAGTAGTAGAAGTATCATTAGTAGTTGTAGTAATAGTAGAAGTGGTAGTAGTTGTAGTAGTACTAGAAGTAGTAGAAGTAGTAGTAATTGTTGTAGTAGGGTAATAGTAGAAGTAGTAGTGGTAGTAGAAGTAATAGTAGTTGTGGTTGTAGTAGTAAAAGAAGTAGTAGTACTAGTAAAAGAAGAAGCAGTAGTAGTAGTGATACCTAATGATAATTATTATTTATATGATAATGACGATGATAAACAGAAGCAAACAAAGAGAATCACAATAAAGATATTATCAACAAGCTGTAATTCCACTTTAAGAAGTTTTGTTATATTTGCAAAGTTAAACACCTATGAATTTCGTTCAACATTGATACGGAAATTTCAGAACGTGCTACGGTTTTGGCTCGACAAGGGCGTGGACGGTTTTCGGGTGGACGCTATAACACACCTGTTCGAAGTTCAAGGTAACCCGTTGTTGCTTTTCCTATTCATTTATTATTATTACTATTTTGTGTGTGTATTTTCGTCATTTTTCTTGTCTTTTTTTGTGTAGGTTGTTCTTCGTGTTTGCTAGAGAACGTTTTGGCTTTTTGTTGTACTATGTTATTCTTTGTATTTGTAAGATAATATAGTTATCTCCTATGAGTTCAGAATCTATTCACTATCTTAGCATCAGAATTTATGAACAAAAACAATATATTTTTCCCATTTAGGTTCACAGTGTATTACCAACTTGGAATCGATAATTGTAAGCAAAGGTAATTCATTTCCAATCTAATATTCACAATCTGTTACCAACGTAAACACGGAAATTATAAACAAACACGTTCTATTTCTCTCCCGCAAGCTCAGAATCCCAACATTATTATGATCGTCGGTCGACACATGTTCCTGCTAACTGTTACCGATGATCTGGCGGCGTAGAGGCTTGTTACAAAGCATCAAGACGTGACTCCAAAGCTCTAGATAGCGTCCAGGTTTCGCTTCCTTTTAAAAGCAAAACTGGAAGTATTCAAGCCTAAAATTACACGTAATTTAGTCCTGCACAGGGTACCGGCACCTCCAAATACTCTTGTTGACTGAGTTCATGGTTCCTGCTGCCAGAACATTCCGTCTACTTCCTGGTCTGACAGCCCAGAAACATGACATGAAACTGCACTGCCAAGGTATGTAAAACCTCTCTGTGACTTCAACGTCCTTGGCCGCAAGCACGTATTGACTAAACAGGATTCTCCTAGCAGGTCTCCCAAATTCCTGGATCTTGGTCTTAGTCCAGGAGACCTGTAAGCCCAGGGCTTCGGCCTCATTGCCAAATGCATCAAGAGGCCATACCAGAGAATTCCAAAGACTCATATAAATGTTGCCCAGTGTTCCACACTGACTTTTGGAAAGTAGCTTTGCCATTATCCAATCCATGCAAGTGTTGAGGTGTTAGCGCAAGGACACAGCCTTGCCTCAATTCCTGAGTTACAGGAAGAAGCTCGACAGGCCCCCACAACACTTACAGCACTTTCAGTACTCAGTAT